TTAAGTGATATTTGGCAAGGCACTGAAATTCTCAGATTGTCGATTTTGCAAAAAAAGTCTGAAATCTGGATAAAGTATCCCATTTTTAATATTGGCAACCATTATAACATTTTTAAAAACATACTATTGGGGCAAACAAAGTATCTGCAGTGTTCTCCTACAATGGAAGGGTTGAACTGAAGAAGTCCTAAGATCTTATCTAGCTTCGATAATGACTGAGGTGGTGTTTTAATGATTAACAGGTAGTTTGCTTTAGGATAAAATCCAATTTCTCCATGTAAAACTAGCTCAAAAGAGTCAGCTGCCCTTGTGGTACAGCCAGAAAAGGTGGCTGGTCTTACTGATGCTACTTGTCTCTTTTCTCTCCCAAAGCACATCATTTATATGCAATTTCTAAACATTTAAGACAAATGCAATACAACAATAAAATGGGACAGGCGCAGACCCTCCCGGCTTTTCCAGGTCAGGGCTGTATTTTGGTTTCCTTGTCACTTCCTCAGGGCCAACATGGCCCACAGTTGAAGGCTCAGTGCCTGTGTGGAAAGCTTAAGTTCCCAGGAATATACCACTCTAGGTCCTACTTCAACAAGAGTAATTGTGAGGTACAAATTCCACGGTAGATTTATATTAAACACTGGCTATCACAAAAAAAAACTTTAGATCATTAGCTATAACCATCCAAGAATAATAAGCCAGATAAATATTATTTCTACATGTTGTACATTTAAGACCTATTCCCAGCAGCCAGCTCACATTTTTTGGAGAACACTTGGCTACACCGTAATTCAAAACCTATCTTTACTTCTCAGCAGATACATCCTCTATGAAAAGCAACAGATTCCTGGGCCTTAAAAGAGGAGCTGACAGAGGGCTGAGTGCAAAAATAAAGATAAATTAAACGGCTTCCAAAAGCAGATGTGGAAAGCACTGGGTTCTCCAAATGTGCTTGTTTCCTTTGGACCCGGGGGCTCGCATGAGGTCTCACAGAGCAGAACTCTGAAGGTAACTTCATGAAGGGCACACTCCTCCATGGCACTTTGACAACCCACCCACCTCAGTTTGTAATATCATCTTTGGTTTTTTGTTTTTTAATTATATTTTATTGTTTATGCTATTAGAGTTGTTCCAATTTTTCTCCCTTTGCCCTTGTCCACCTAGCCCCGCCCACTCACTCAGGCGACCCCCAACACCATTGTCTGTGTCCGTGGATCCTGCATATAGGTTCTTTGGCTACTCTATTCCCTATGCTGTATTAATAGCATTTTTTAAAATGCCTTCTTGACCCAGGGGTTAGGCTCTGGGGCTCTGACACTCCAGGCTGTGACATTTCCACCCTAATCACCCAGGGCCAGGCAACAGATAACGAGGGACATCCGGGCCTAACCTCCAGGGCCTACTGAAATTATCCCAACTAGCCAATCCTAAACCTGCTTCCTCCACATCACCAAGGAAACCACAACAAAGGTGCTCCCTCGTGAGGACCCTGTGCCCCTCTGGGTAGCATGCTGTGTTCTCCCCAGGAACCTGTGAGTTACAAAACTAAAACCCTTCCCAGCTTCTGTCTCTTCATCTGCATCTAAGGTAATACGGTTAAAATACGGTCGAGCACATAAAGAGGCAATCCAAAGGTCATTCTTGATTGCAAATGTCTACTGGCGGCCAGCAGCTGATCACAACCTACAAAAAGCCTACATGAGAAGTGTTCCAAAGTCAGGAAGGGGTGACTCAACATGTGGCCTAGGAAAAATGATAGTTTCCTTGTATAAAAACACAAAAGTCACACCCCAAGAAATCTGTCGTTTACAGCCTTTAGAAGGTACTTTCCTGCGATGAGTTTTGGTCAAATATATCAAAATGTGCTGATGTTTGCACTGGTTACCCTGAGTCTTCTGAGACTTAGCTGAAGTGGGGCAGGTGTGCAAACGTGGAAAACGGGATGCCTTGTCGTAACCTGAATGGGAGTGAGCATGTGCTCATTTCCCAGGTAACACACCGCAAATCTTCTGGCCTCCAATAAATGGACACAGCTACCAGGTGATGGCAATGGACACGTGGAGCCTCCTCACACACTAGGAAGACCTGTCTACAACGAGGGTGTTACCTCGGTGGCATTTCCTGCACAGCCGAGAAGCAGCATGTAGTTGATAGGGCTCTCCCCTAGTTGTGCTTGGGCATTCTGCTTCTTAAAACATTTGGTAATTGCCTTTGGCACCTTTCCAGTACAGATCAGAACACTGCAAATTAATAAACCACTGCAAGCTTAATGATAAGCATTCACTAAGGCAGAGAGCCTAGCTGAAGTACTCTATGTCAATACCATCTTTCATTGCCAGGAAGGACAATTTACATAGTTCACCATTTAAGGCCTTGTGCAGCCATTAAGCTTACTCTGCCCTCTGTACAGCCAACCATTCCCTCAGCAGCAGGGATGTCCTTACTACCTCCAACCAGGTTACCACACGGCTGCTTTCTAGAAGGCTTTCTGAGCTGGGCTGAGTTTTTTCTTCCTAATTCCCTCTATGTGGCAGGCAATGATAACCCTCAGATCTAAAGCCATGCTTTTCTCTCTTGCTGCTGCCCCTCAAAGTCCAGGAAACCAAATACAGCAGGTCCTTGACTAACGTTTCATTCAACAGCATTTTGTTATAACATTCATGACACGCTGTAGGAAGTTTACCTCTTGTTTATATCAATCATCTGTGGTAAAACTGGTTTTGTTAAATCATTTCATCATAGTTCTAAGAACCTATAGACACATTAAGCGAGGACTTACTATATGTACTCTGCTAGCCTCCCTTGCAGCTACAATGGTCATGTGACACAGTTCTAATCATGGAAGGTCTGCAGGGGGCTTCTGACAAGAATTTGACCTTCTTGATAAAAGGAGACTGACCATGGCTAGCAGAGTCCTCCCTCTCACCCCAGCCTTGAATATAGCTATTATCACTAATTGTTACTCACTCCTAGATAAGGGTCAGAAGAATAACAAAAAACACATATCAGGGGTGTCCAACCTGTGGCCTGTGTGATTCGGGATGACTATGAATGCAGCCCAACACAAAATCATAAATTTACTTAAAACATTATGAGATTTTTTGTGTGTGTGTTTACGTGTTGCAATGTATTTAATGTGTGACCCAAGACAATTCTTCTTCCAGTGTGGCCGAGAGCTGCCAAAAGCTTGGACACTCCTGAAGATGGTTTTAATATTAGTTCTATAGAGGGGGGTATGTGTGTGCACATTCATACACTCACTCACTTCTCCTTGTGAAGTTAAAATAATGTATACTTTAAACATAACAAAAATATATTTATTGTCCATTTGGACCCACTATTCAGAATTAGGCCATTATTTCCTTCCATGTGGTTCAACTTATGAACATCCATAGTAGAGGTGACATGGAAAACAAGCAGGAAGTTCTCCCACCCTGATTTCTGTGTCTTCCTCAATTTAAGGTGTTGAACTAGTGTGAATGGAATATGAGGGTGAGAATCAAGGTTTGCACCATCTGTTCAGACACAGAGGGACAGTTGCATTGGAAGGCAACACAGCAGCACAAAATTTCTGGTTAATTTGTCTACACATACTAGGGAAGTTTCCATATAAATGTTTTCGTTATATTGAGGATAGAAATAATAAAATTCACCAACAGAGGCTCTCTACTGACAACCTGTAATAAGGGTCTATCACACACTCAGGGAAAAATTGAAGGTTGACAAAGGGAGATAATTCCTTTGCCTTGCAAACACCGTGGACTATAAAAACCAGAGGCTGAGGAACTCTCTCACACGCACACATTCGGCATTTATCAAAATGAGTGGAAACAACCAGCACTGACTTGAAAATAAATCTTAAAAAAATTTTTTTATGAACCCTAAGTTTTTTCTTTTGCTTTTGCTTTTTGTTACAGCAGCTCTCCAGGAGTAGAAAAATGGGAGGACTCGAAGTTCAATGTGCTGGGCAATGACACAGAACTTAAGAAAACACAACAGGAACTGTAGCAGATCATTTCATTTTGCGTGTCTCCAACTAACCATGGACGCTTGATATTAAATCACACGTGTCATGTATTTTTCCTTCATCCAGGGAAATGGAGTTGTGGGGTTGCAGGCACACATGCAGGAGCAGGGAGAGAACCTGCATCAGCCGCGATGTGCCCCCACGCCGGGGCACGGCCCCTGCTTGACCACACACTAGAGAAACTGACTTTATTAGGCAAATATCCCGCCTCTGAGTTTCAGGTTTTTCAGCTACAAAATGGAGATATTAAACTATATCAAATTTCCCCTTTTATAGATCTAAACTGTTGATAGCAGTGATTTCATAGGGTTCCACCTAATAATTCCTGCCCTGCTATTCATAGGATTTTTGAATAGGATCAAATAAAATTAGTATTTATATAAAGGTGCACAAACAAAAAACCTATAACTATGAAAAGAACATTAACTTTATGAACTGGAACAGTAGACAGTGCTTCAAACTCCACAGGTGCATTGCTTTATAAAATATAAAATGATGGAGATAGATCTCAGAATTACTCTTTATAGTGCAAGTTCCTGAGTGCACCTCCTGAGCCAGGAACAGGAGGACCTGTCCAGTGGGGAATAGGCACTTCTGACACTCTCAGTGATAACTCAAATTGGAGAAAATGCTTTTCCCAGAAAATAAGTTACCCTCTTTGGTTTTGGGTGGCTTTCTGCTGAAATGCAGGCTTTACCCAAGCCCTTCCACAGCAAACAAAAGAGATCTTAAAGAACTTCATTCATAGGACATTCTTTTTCCTTTATAACCAGAAGAGACTTCATATGAAAGTAAAATTAGCTCAGTCACTAATTACTAAAAATTAATAAAATCTAATGGAGGTGTCATCTTTCGCAACAGGGTGGTTTTATCACCTTGCTGCTTAATCCAAATCTTTCAAAAAGCTCTGAGCATTGAACCTCCCAGAGAGGACCCCAGACCCCTCTTGCAGCAGGGGCTGGCGGCCGTTGTAACTTACCCCTCAGGATGTAGTTCTGATAGTTTTGGTCTGCCTCAGCTCCCACCTTGATCAAACAGGTCAGACCTTCAGCCACCACAAATTCATGCACCAAATCCTTGTCATCCTGGCAGGAGAGGGGAAGAAAAAAGAAAAAGACTTCAAATACTGTCGAGGTCCACCTTCCATCCAGAATGTGCTATTAAAACTATACACAAGCCTTTGAAGCCAGACCGACCCCTAAAGACTGTTCTGTTCTATTCAAATGAAGCATCTCAACTGTTGCCAGAGGAATTTTACAACCAGTCTTCACATTGTTGTTTGCCAAAGGCCAATCATTGCCTTCTGGGCAATCTAGTAAAGATAAAGCAAATGAATCCCCTGACTGTCAGGAATATTTATAGTGTTCTGTTTCTCATTCTTCAAAAATCACCAGGCCCCACCCCTCCAACCCAAAGGTCCCTAGGGAGAGGCCACATAAAGCCCTAAGCTTTAACAACAGGAAACATTTGATAGCGGCATAGACCATCAAGTGAAGGATTCAAAGCCCCTCGCGTGTTCCAAAAGACAGTCCCTGAGGATGGGGGTTCCAAAGGTCTTGTAAATGGTATCAGAATGTAGGGAAGCAGCATCTCCACCTCCTGAGTTGAGTGCTTGCCAGACCAGCAGGAGGCAGAGCGCAGGTCCCAGCGCATACCTGGAGCAGCACACCACCCTTCCAAAGAGCCACTTTGGTCAGCCTGCAGACCTGATCACAGAAGGCAGGACATGGAAGGCACCTCACGGGTCTCCAGACCCACGGACAGCAAGAGTGACACCTGGGAACTTGTTAAAAATACAAACCCCTGGCCCCACCCCTGACTTACTGGATAGGAAGCCTACGGTGGGACCCAGTGACCTAAGCTTACCAAGCCCTCTAGGTGATTCAGGCATGCTCTGATGGGTCTTAGCCATCCAGGTGATGAGGAAGCGTTTGGGAGGGCTTCAGCCCAGACTCCTTTGTGTTAGGATCATCTGGGAGCTTTAAAAAAGCATAGGAAGCAAGACCCTCCCAGGATGGACTTAACCAGAATTTCTGGGGGTCAGGCCCAGGCTTTGCTATTAAATTCCCCAGGAAATCCTAAAGGCCAACTCGTTCAAGAACCACTGATCTAATCTTACCTTCTCTTTACAGAGAAAGGCTAAAGAGTGGCCAGTGTTGGCCAAGATCACCTGTGTCCGACCAGCCCCCGAGTGCGGTCACTTTCCTTTAGTTGCCCTTTCTGCGGAAATCTAGGAGAGGGATTCTTCCACTACTGCTTCAGGAGATGTCCTCAGTCGGACAGTACCTTGTCCCCAATGCAACCAGGATAAGGCTGGAACATTCATCTTCAATTATAACAACAGAGCAAAAATAAAAAACCTCAGTGATGTAAATAGTAGAAAGCTTAATGGAATAATGAAAGGTTATTCTTATAGGAATGGTCAGCAACCATGGTTTATCTCCAAAAGAGAAAAACTCATTCAGGCGAACTGGCATAATTCTCCAGTCTCTATGTTAAATCAGGCCCTCATTTTGATTTTATGGCATTTTCCAATTATATGGATGGAGGACTTGAGCTAAATGTGGGCAGGCCAGGCCGAGGCTCCCTTTGAACCCAGAGCACCCTCCATGTTCCGAGGGCACTGGGGGGAGGGGGGCCCCAGGCTTGTGCCCCAGAGGTAATGAGAGACAGCTGTGTTAACTCAGACCTTAAGATAATCATGGCTTTGGGAAGCAAGAGGATATGGGACAATATCATGAGTTTTTGGAAAATTACTTTACACTCATATGTATAAAGGAAATAAAAAATAATTCTCTCTCCATCCATATCCTTTCCACCAGCATATGTGAAAAGTGAACATTTAGATGAGCTCATGTCTAGTCAGAAAGTTTTTCCAAGCATGTAACAAATGTTTATTACTTTAACTAAAACTAGATTCACACATGACTTCATGGTGAAAAAGTGAGAACAAGCTCTCAAGAAACCACTCAAGCTAATCACTAATATTAATATAGCGTAGAGTCGACTGACTGTCTGGCAATGGTATTTAGAAAAAACACTGGGCAGAGGAGACAGTGTTTATAAAAATAATTCAGAACCCTAACTGAAATGTATGCACATATATAGATAAGGCACTCAGAAAATAGAAATGTATGGGTAATAAATGTGAATGATACTTTCCAAATTGGCAATGTACTAGACTTTAAACACACATCCTAAAATATATAGACACTCATAAGTGGTTCTTGAAACATTGGTTTCCGACTAGAATGAAATCAAAATGTCAACGCTAACTGATAAGTGATTATCACTGCATTTCAACATTTTCTATAGTAGCCATGCATTAACCTATGATCATTTTTTAATGCTGATTCGTCAAGGAATGTTCAACTCAATCCAAATGACCAATGGCTCTAGTTTTTCACTGTTGTTGTGTTTTACTCCCCCTGTGCACCCCGCCCCTTACAAGCCTGGTTCCAAAATGAACCTTCCCACTTAGAAAACACGGAGGTGATGGAGAGGCAGGGTCACGGTTGTGAAAAGGAATCTAGGTCCCAGAGAGCATGCAGCCTGGTAATCCATTCAACCCCCAATGCATCCTTGCTCTGTGGTTTACAGCTATTTTTTGTACACATGGGTGGTCTTCCAGACAGGTTATAAACTTCTGATAGCAAGCACCGTCTTTCTTGCCTACGCAATGTGGACAAAGCCTTCTCAGGAAGATTTGTTTGATGAATAAGTAGTAGAAATAGTGTCCCTGAGAATTCAGAGAGCCGACGCTACAGAACAGGTTGGGTGAGAGGATGTGCAACAAGACTCTAAACATGTTTGCTTTATTTTTTAACTTTTTCCCCATGGAAAATTTTAAACATATACAAAAGAAGACAGAATAATTTAGTGAACCCCTGGTGCCAATCAATTCACACCAATCCTGTTGCATCTGTCATCCCCCACCCCCGTCTGCTGTCATATTCATTTGAAGCAAATCCCAGACATCACATCATTTAATCCATAAGTATTTCAATATGTATCTGCAAAATAGGAACTCTTTTTAAAATTATGTACTCATAATAAAAAATTAATGCTTTCTTATGTTATCAAATGTCCAGTCAATGATCAAATTTCTGTCTCATAAATACTGTTTTCTTACATTTTGTCGTAGGATCCAAATAAGATCCACATGTGGCAATTAGTCGATATAACTTAACTGTCTTTTAATTCATCTCTTTTTTTTCCCTTGAAATTTATGTGTTGAAGAAACTAGGTCATTTGCCCACAGTCTGGGTTTTGTTGATTATACTCCTGTGGTGCAGTTTAACTTGTACTTCAGTCCGAGATCATTTATAAATTGGTTATTGCTTATAGAGGCATGATCAGATCCAGGGTGGATTTGGTCAGCTTGACCACATCATTGACCATAGTGTGTGTTTCCATGAGGACGCATATAATATCTGGTTGTGTCTTGTTTCTGTCACATCAGCAGTTCTTGATGCTCAAGATCTATATCCATTAATTCATTAGGGGTTGCAAAATCATGATATTCTATCACTCCTCCCTAGCTAGAATACTTATATAAACAAAACTTCACCTCAACTACTGTTTGATTATCCTAAAATTCACATAAGAGGCAAGATAAATATGAGATTCTAAAACTTTACCCATTTTCAAAGTAATGTGCTAGACATTAGCATTCTCCAATGGTGAGCAATCCACTGGATTTACTTTTTTTTTCCCAGTATCATTATGAACTCATTAATGCAAACATTTGATGTGCTTCAATTCATTGCCACTTTCACCCTTTCTGATATTGTCCCATCTTTGGCCAGCCAGTGGGAGGCTCTTCAACAAGCTTCTCGGTTCTTTTGGCAATAATCCTAGCAGTATTTGAGAGCTTCCTTGCTATATATATATAAGAGGTTCCAAGTTTATTTTACCCTTTTCCTACTCCAGACTTAGAATCAGCTATTTCTCCAAAGAGCTCTGGTTCCTTTCAATATTTTAAGACTGCAATCTTGCTGCCTTTGATGCTTTTTGCTAATGGTTTGATCATTGCTTCTAGCCCTTTTCCATAAACAGAGCTAGAAATATACTTATTTGCTTGTTTGTTTGTTTGTTAAAGTAATATATAACATGTGCTCAGTCTGATTCTTCTAATTCAGGAATACAGAGTTTTTAACTTAACCTCTTCTACCTTTCTATCTTTTTTCTCCCACACACCAAGAACCCTAATCCCTAAGAACTCTAAGAATGAAAAAACTGAGATCACAACACACACTTAAACCCACACAAACATACACACAGTCTCAGAATAGCAATACCAACACTACCACCACCAACATGATTATTGTAAACATGTACACAGTTCATTTTTGTCTGTGTGGTTTGAGATACACAAATTACAGTGTTTTAAAGTCACTTAGAATAGCTCTTCTCTGTGTGGTTCTGCCACCCACTGGATACTCAACAAGGTGAACACAGGTTTTGAAAGGAGGCAAAGCTGAGCACCAGAAGCAGCAGGCAGACAGAGGGACTAAATGAATTAGGTGAGGAGCATCATGGGCATGGCCCTCTGGTGGCACGGTGACAGTCCGGCTCTCCTGCAGTCAGGGATCCAAGCTGGAGAGGAGGACTTAATGAAGGGTGAAGAAGTTTTGCTTCATTCATCTAAGGAACAGCAATACACAGAGGCATACGTCAGAAGTGGAACTTTGGGACAAGTAACTAGTCAGTGATGCACTGACTAAATTAGAGACAGGGAGGACTGGAGACAGACATCCGGTAGACTATTCGGTCCACCAGGTCCATTCATCTATTGCTAAGTGGCACCAGGTACTGTGCAAGGCCCCAAAGACCCAGCAATAGGACCCAGGGAGCCCCCAGATAACTGGACTCAGACAGATGCCCTGATGTATCTTAAGTTCTATACTTGACATCAGCACAGAGGATATCAGAAGTATTTGGAGGGACCATGACTGCGGTGAGGAGTCATTTGCTTAAGGAAGAGACTCTTTGACAGAAGGAGATACTAGATGGGGAACTGAGGGACATGGAGAGTGGATGTGGAGTGGCAATGCATTCTGGGATAAAAGCAATAGGCCCAGGGGCAAAGGTGCAGAAGAGAAAAGGCACAGCTTGCTCCCAGAAGGCAATCACAGGTAGAACTCAGGATGCAGCCAAGGACAGTGAGGTGTGCACAGAAGACAGATCCAGAAGGGCCTGGATTTTATACTGAGAAATCCAGAAGTAACCCAGAAAACTATGAGGAACCAGCAAGAGAATGGCTTCCTCAAACCCCTCTGGTGGGAAGCAGATAAATGGACTGAGCTGGGGAGGACCAAAAGCAGGCAGTGCCCATGGACAGCTGCTTTAACTTCCCCAGAAGAAACAGCCTGAACCAAGGCACACCCCAAACCCTGGGGGAATTCTTCTGAGATGCACACCCTCAGGGCAATGACAGGACAGGTTTACCTGAGACAAACGGACACTGAGAAGGGGCTCTGCTCTGGGTAAAAACACAAGGGGGCGAATGGGACGGACTGTGGACCTGCCTTTCTGTCTATTCCCTCTCAGACCGGAAGACACCTGTGAAGGGGTCTGCCATTCGAGCTAAGATGAAGAAAGTCTTTTATCATATGGATAAGACAGGAACTGAAGAGAAGTGGAATTTACCCGAGAGTCCAAAACCGTAATAGAAAGAACGATAAACCCACAGAGACACAGGCTCAATGCAATGGCCATCTTCTCCATGAAGCTATCTCCTGATCCTGCCCAGGCCTGACAGCCCCACTCCCTCCCCTGTGTTGTCTCTCTTCTGCCATGTCATGCGGGTGACAGTCTTGGAGCTCATCTGCAAACCTGTCCCAGCCCTCTTCACGAAGCCTGTGACTCTGTCAGGGCACAGACCTAGGGAAGCCTTAGGAGAGGATAAGATGGACCGAGAGAGACACTGGCACATGAAAAGGGGGCATGGGATGGCCACGTGGTTTATAACAGCAAAACACTGGAAATAGACCAACTGCCTGCACAGGAGACTGAACAAAGCAACTTGTACTTCATCCATTCAATGCAATATCCACTCAGAGCCACGCCAGTCATACCTGCACGCATCCCTCTCTCAATAAGTAAAGATGAAGTATGGTATGTGCACCATGATGATATTTATCTATAGATAGAGATAGACAGATAGATAGAGATATAGAGATAGTGAGAGAGAGAGAGAGATAATTAATACAAAATAATGTAACATTGCTGGTGAAGATTCACCATTAATAAAGAAACATGCAGGTACATGATAAAATTTAATAATCAGTAGATAGGGACCTGGAGTGGGGTAGGAAGAAGATGGTTGGTATTTGGGATTAGAACACAAGACTTCAATTAAACTGTACAGGTTTTTCTGTTTAAAAATCTGGAGTAAATATGAAAAAATATGATTTAATAAAACTGTCTTATTGTATTTGAAATAGCTGATATGGTAAAAATAGTCACAACTGGTACTTTGACCTAATTTACATTGTAATCTAATGAGATCTTTCTGTAATCAATAAAAGGTGTAACCTTGTCTATATCTCATTCCACATCAATGCAAAAACAGAATGTAAAAGCACTTTTTTCTTTTCTTACCTGAAATATCTGCTTCAGGGAGAAAAGGGCCCTTCTTAAATCTCGTCCACTGGAGTTGTACAGTTTTTCTGAAATAAAGAAACAACATATAAAATTAATTATAGTGACTCAACAGATGGTGAAAATGCAGAGAGGATATGAGCAATCACAGAATTTCCACTTGGAAGAAGAGTAAACCAACTCCATTTCATTTAGGATTCAGACCTCACCTCCAGTAGTGCAAAGAATAATCTGGGCTGTTAGAGGGGGCTGGAAGTGTTAGGGGGGAGCGGAGAGTTATAGAGAATGATGCCCAGATCTGCACCTTCAGCCACCACCCTCCCTCCCTCCAGATCTCTAGGTCCAGCTATTTACAGACCATGACACTTGATGGTACACTATATCCGAAATGCTGACGCAGCTGAAATAGAGCTCACCTTTCCCTGCCCTCCTCCCTTGGCTTGCCACCCTGTGCCACCGCGCTCTCTGCCGCTGGGCTGAGGAAGCTTTGCAGAGCCTCCTTTCCCCTGGGGTCTGAGGGTCTCCTCAAGAGCCCCAAGGAAGCACGGGGGCTCTGAGGTCTGACTAGCGCCTTCGATGACAGGAACCTGTCCTCAGCTCTGGCTGTACCTCAGCCCTCACTCAAGGATGGGCCCTGACCCTGAGCAAGGTAGACAGGGGAGCCGTGGCTCCACATTCTCTGGCCCAAGACTCCGGCCAACTGATACAACCCCACTATCCCATCGGCCACATTTAACATTTACTAGTTAGGCCAGGCCTGTGTGAAGAAGGAGGTGAACTTGACCCAGAACCTGTCCTCCAGAGGTCACAATGCAGCAGGATAAACAGATGAGTAATCTCCTAATTACTAGTTGGCTCACAAAGTGCTGAAGGCACACAGGAGGAAGGGAAAAGTCCAGGTCTTCTGGTGCATCTGGGAGCATGGATTCTGCTGTTTCCCAGAACCCAAGTGCGGCCCTGACTCAGGTGGCTCAGGGGCCTAGGGTTGGGTTCCTAACACCAGATGTTAGATGGCCCCATTATAAATCCGCCAACACGTTTCCTAAGCACCTGCCTAAGCTGTGCTCAGTACTGGGGGTACAGCAGTGAAGAATGGACTTAAGTAACAGCAAACTGGACATTCAGATGCCCTGCATTTCAAAGCCAGTGTCACCACCTACTAGCTATGTGACCTTGGGCCAATGTTTCACCTCTCTAAGCCTTGGATTACCCATCTGTAAAATCTGAATAGATAACAATAGATTTAGAGGAAAATGGCTTTTGTATTACACCAAATACTGATGTGATGGAGTAGAATGCAATATTATTTAAAATATTTAGATGGAATAAAAAAGTTCAGAGCAATGTCATGCTGGTAGCCCAGCCACCCTATGTGGGGTAAAGGGCAAAGCCACATGCGAGTGGCACGGACTTGGGTGGAAGGGCATCGAACACACAGATCTAAAAAAGCTGGCAGAGTCTGGTTAGGAGGAGGATATGACCACTTTGCACAGTGTCTCTGGAAGTGAACAAATGCCCACATAAAAGATTCAAAATTACATAAAGCAGGTGGCGCTCAACATAGGCATGGCAGTAGCATCCTCAAAGGCTTCACTCTGGACGTTTTTCCTTCCTCCCATCCACTCTCCAGACCAAGGCTAGAAGGATTCGGTGAAAATGACCCCCTGATGACATCACTGCTCCCATTTAAACCCTTCAGTGGCTGCTGACTGCACTGAGAATGAAATCCAAAATCCTTTGCATGGCCATACAGCCCCTGGTCATGCAGCCCTGGGCCCACCCTCACTGTGCCGCAGACACTCTGGTGCCCTCTCCGCTCCCTGGGCAGGTTGGCCCCTCTAGACTCACAACCTACACGCACAGCTGGTGAGTGGCAGGTGCAGGAGTCATGGGGAATCGTGTCTGACCCCAAGACCTCCTTACTGTTTGTCCACCATGGGATCCACCACATCTAAATACAATATACAGTCTACAGCCCCTTGTTAATTACAAAGTGTTTCCATTAAGAGAGAACATACTACCCCCCTCAAAACAAGTAGCTAAGAAAACTACAAAGGAATCAACCATCCCAAACTGAATATTGAATTCATTGGAGACCCTAAGAAAGGAGGCCTGAGTGACTCAAGCTGACTTCTAAAGTCTGTGCATGGCCTTGAAAAGACATGAGTAGTAACTAAATGGAGTGAACTACATGGCACCCCTGTTAGAACCCCGGTCCCCAGGGATGATCACTTCGTTCAGTTTCTAGGGCTAACATCTCAGAATTCTCAAATCCCAGAGAAACACACTTTGATTTTTGCCAGTACCACTACTAATAATTGAGAATAAAGCTATCAGGAACAAACATGGGGCTACAGATACCCTGAGGAAGAGAGGCAGATTTTTCTTATGCAGGAGAGAGTACCTCTTGTACTCTTATTGTAAGGCAGTAAGTCTTGCTTTAGACTTTCTTGCTATGTACCACCAGACATGCAGAAATCTGTCTTAAATGGATTCACAATATCACCTTTAGTTATTAACAGTCTCCTTTAGTTACTAGCAATCGGTCATGGCTTTTAATTCATGGGAATGAGAATCATGGTTAATTGTGTTCTGATTGGTAAGGTTTTAGTACTTAATGCTGTAGTCGAAACAATCAGTTTTTTAAAACAGGATCAAGTGTTATTGGAAAACAAACAGCTGAGAATGACTTACTGTTCTGTTGAGGATTTTTGCATGCATATTCATGGGGAATATTGGTCTGTAGTTTTCTTGTAATGGGGTTGACACTGAGGCAATGCTGACCTCAGGTTGGAAATGTTTCCTCCTTTTCGACTTTCAGAATGAGTTTGTGTATTTCAGAATGACTTGGTATTATTTCCTCCTTAAATATTTGGGAGAATTCCACAATGAAGTCACCTGGGCCTGGAATTCTTTGCTGTTGTTGGGAGGTTTTCAATGATAAATTAAATTTCTTCAATTAAGATAGGGCTATTCTGATTATCTGTTTCTTCTTGAACAAGCTTTGGTAATTTGTGTCTTTTAAAGAATTTCTCTATTTCACCTAAACTATTAAATGTATGGGCATAGAGATGTTCATAATATTCCCTATCATCCTTTTATTGACTATAGCAATCTCTTCATTTTTATCTATGATAATGGTAACCTGTATCTTTTCTCCTTTTTACTTGGTTAATTTGGCTAGAGATGTATCAATTTTATTGATGTTTTCAAAGGATCAGCTTTTGATTTCATTGTTTTTTCCATTGCTTTTCTGATTTCTATTTCACTGATTATTTTCCTTCTGCTTGCTTTTGGTTTAATTTGCCCTTTTTTCCTAGTTTCCTAAGATGGAAACTTAAATAATTGATTTAGACCTTCTTTCTTTTCTAATATAATACTTAATGCTATAAATTTCAAAGCACTACTTTAGCTACAATCCACAAATTTTGATATACTGTGTTTTAATTTTCATTTGGTTTAAAATTAAATGAATGTTGAATATTCCATTCACTTCGAAATGGAACAACTTAATCTTGTGACTTTTTTGAACTATGGTTTATATAGAAGTACTGTATTGCTTAACTTCCAAATACTTGGGGATTTTCCAGATAGCTTTCTGTTACTGATTTTTCCATTTAATTTCTCGATGCTAAGGACATATACTTTATATATCAATTATTTAAATGTATTAAGGTTGATGTTATGGTCCTGGATTCTTTTTATCTTGGTGAATGTCTAATGCACACATAAAAAAACTGTGTATTCTGCCATTATTGGGTGGACTCTTCTATAAATAGCTACTAGGTCAAGTTGAGTGATAGCATTATTAAGGTCTTCTGTCCTTACTGAATTTATGTTTACCTATTCTAGATTTTACTAAGAGAGGAGTTTTAAAATCAACTATTATTGTGGATTTGCCTATTTCTTCTTTCAGCTCTATGGGTATTCCTTTAGGTCCTTTGAAGTTCTGTTGTTAGCTGCACTCATAATTAAGGTTGCTATGATTTTCAGGCAAATTGACCTTTATCATCATGCAATAAGGTCTCTCTTCATCCCTGGCAATATTCCTTGTTTTAAAACCTACTTTTCTAATATTTTCTAATACTAATATGGTCAGTTAGTGTGTGGTTGGTGTTTTCAGAGTGCTTCTTTTCCCATCCTTTTATATTTAACCTATCTATGTAGAGTTCCTTGTAAATATGGTTGCAACTTGTTTTTATCCAGTCTGACAATGTCTATCTTTTACCTGGTCTGCATTCACTGCGTTTTTAACCCCTGTGAAATCACAAATGTCTCCTCTGTGGCACCAAACAGAAGGCCCTCAGGGAGAGCTGACAGTGCCGCTACCCTTGGATGAGAAACATCCTTGTACAAATGTCAATGATTTTTTTGAAGGGAACCAAAAAACTCTCCCCCTTCTTTTTTAACCATGTTTTTGAATTAAAACAAATTAGAATTTCTACTCAAGAAGTAAGTACTTTGCATTCTAATTGTCTTTAATTAAAAAAAAACAAACAAAAACAAACTCTCATTATCCTGGCCAGGAGGCGGGACTGGTTTGAATAGCACCCCATACACCAAAGGCTGTGGGTTCCATCCCCCATCAGGGCACATAGCCTCGCTGTCAGTTTGATCCCCACTCAGGACGCATACAGGAGGCAACCGATGGATATTTCTCTCTCACATACATTCTCTCACTCTGTCTGTCTGTCTGTCTGTCTCTCTGCCCCCTCCCCGCCCCTTCCTCTCTCTTTCTCTAAAACCAATGAAATAATATCTTTGGGTAAGGTTTTAAAAAATCCTTATTATTCACTTTACTTAAATAGTTGTTGATTCCAAACAATGCTAAATAATAAAATAGCATGGTTCCCAATTAATAAGTATTTCTTTTATGCAAGAAAATTATCACTATGAATCTTAGAAAGAAATTCACAAATTTTAATGCAGTTTTGTTTTTTAATATCAAAGCTCATAAGTTCAGCCAACCTATATAAGAATGTATGACTTTTTGCTAAAATGACTGGTAAAACACTTTGTTTTTTAAGTCCATAGGCTACAAAGCACTAGGCGAGGGTTAGATCAGAAA